CTGATTGCTGCTGGGGCACGTCACTCCGGGTCGGACCCCGCCCCCCGAGTGCTCTCATTGGCCGGAAGCGTCTCGGGGGCGGGTCGCGGCGGGCGGGGCCCGGGTCGCGGCGGAACCGGGCCGATGAGGCCGAGGGGGACCCTGGCGAGGTGAGTGTGCGCCTCGGGCCGTGCGGGCTGGGCCGCCTGGGCGCCCGCCGCGACCCCTTCCACGCCCGGGCCCCGACGGTGGCCGTCTGCCCGCCGCTGCCCGCTTCGGGCGCGGCGCTGGGGGAACGAGAACGGGGAGTGACCCGGCCCCAAACACCCTGCTCAGGTGGCCCACGGAGCTGCCCGCTACACCTCTGCTCAGCCCGACCCCCTTCGCTCCGGCCACTCCTTCCTGCAGGGGGCGCATCCTGCCCTTTCCCCGAGAGGACCCAGGCTCCTTGGCTGTCTGGGAGCTCCAGGTGAAAGGGTAATGAGCCGCCCACAAGCCCTCCCGCCTCAGTTTCCCTCTCGCGGGGTCCCTGAACGAGCCACTTGGAGGGGTGAAGTCTGCGGGGAAAGAGGACCGTTCCCGCCACAGGAGCGCATGAGTCGCACTGAGTGGGGAAGGTCGGAAGGTGGCAGGGTGAGGGAGCTCCGCTCTGCTGACCAGCTCTCCCCTTTGCCCCCCTTTAAGTGACCATCGCCCCCTTTGCTCTGTCTGCCTAGGTCTGACAGTCGTTGGAGCAGCCACAGCCACCATGGGGCCCTGGGGAGAGCCAGAGCTCCTGGTGTGGCGTCCGGAGGCGGTGGCCTCGCAGCCCCCAGGGCCCGTGGGGCTGGAGGTGAAAATGGGGGCCCTAGTGTTGCTGCTGGTGCTCACGCTTCTCTGCAGCCTGGTGCCCATCTGCGTGCTGCGCCGTCCGGGGGCTGGCCCCGAAGCCTCAGGTGAGGCCGCCTCCCTGCCGCCTCCCAGGCTGAGGGTAGGGGAAGGCCCTGGGGCTGAGGAGGGTGACCTAAAGGGGGAAAGTGGCAGTGACTATTGCTTGGGTTGGGGCAGGGGGGCTTGAGGGGGTTCGTCGCTCAGTCCTCTCTGTGCTCCACTCCTGCCCAGCCTCCCGCCAAAAAGCCTTGAGCCTCGTAAGCTGCTTCGCAGGAGGTGTCTTTCTGGCCACCTGTCTCCTGGACCTCCTGCCTGACTACCTGGCTGCCATAGATGAGGCCCTGGCGGCCCTGCACGTGACGGTGAGCCCTTGCTGGCTGCATGTGACCTTTCGTGTGTCGGTGTGTTCAATCACATACCTGGAGGAGAGGTGGCTTGTGTGGCTGTCTTCCTGGGGTGCCCCACGACCGTGTGGAAGGCGTTTAGCACGTGGCCATAAGAACTGGGGTTTTCAGTTATGGGGCATAAATTTTCTGTGGTGCACGCCACCCCATCCCCGTGTGACTGTTTTGCACCCTTTGACAGTGAGACGAGCCTTCTTACTAGGCATGTGATCTGCTCTGTGAGTTCCTGGGTCCCACCTTCCAAGAATGACCCTCACTCTCACACCCCTTTCCTGAAGGCTGTGATAGAGGGCCTGGGAAGGGAAGGAGGCCTGGAGTTCCCGACCAGAAAGGCCATAGTTCAAAGAAGTAGGACGTGAGGAAGGTCAAGTGCGAGGTGTAGGGAAGTCTCGCAGGAAAAAGAGTTGTGTGGAGGTGCCAGGAAGGCCCCCTGGGCTCTTCCTCTTCCTACAACTGAGGACTGAGGAAGTAACACTGATGTACCTGCTGTGACTGAGTGGCGTGTGGCCCTGTGTGACTATGTGTAAGTCTCAATGGCCCCATGATAGTGTGTGGCTCTGTGTGTGAGCACACGGTGAGGTGGGCGACACCTGATCCCTGTGTGCGTGCACGCGCCTCCGTGTCACCACGCCGTCCGCATCCATGACTCTCAGTTGGGGGTGGTTTTGTGCCCCCTCCGCAGGAAACATTTGGCAGTGTCTGGAGACACTACCATTGGGTTGTCAGCTCTGGAAAGGAGGGCTTTGTGCTTGTTCTTGGCATTTAATGGGTACCGGCTCGGGTACAGGACAGCCCCCCCAAAATGAGGTTCATCCAATCCGAGATTTCAGTAGTGCTGAAGCTGAGCCACACGTAGTGCTGTGAGGGACGCCATAATCCGTGTGATTGTGTATCACTCTGTGTCTGTGTCACCAAATGACTATCTTTGTGTAAATGTGTCTGTGAGGGGCCCTGGGTCTGTAACTGGGACCCCTCTACACCCTGACCGTGAACCCTCTGCCCCATCCCGGCCTGTGCCCTGAGCTCCCTGCCACCCTCTCCCCACAGCTCCAGTTCCCCCTACAAGAGTTCATCCTGGCGATGGGCTTCTTCCTGGTCCTGGTGATGGAGCAGATCACACTGGCTTACAAGGAGCAGTCAGGGCCGCCGCCTCGAGAGGAGACGAGGGCCCTGCTGGGAACAAACGGTGGGCCGCAGCACTGGCACGACGGGCCAGGGCTCCCACAAGCGGGTGGAGCCCCAGCGGCCCCCTCGGCCCTGCGTGCCTGTGTCCTGGTCTTTTCCCTGGCCCTGCACTCCGTGTTCGAGGGGCTGGCGGTGGGGCTGCAGCGAGACCGGGCGCGGGCCATGGAGCTGTGCCTGGCTCTGCTGCTCCACAAGGGCGTCCTGGCCGTGAGCTTGTCCCTGCGGCTGCTGCAGAGCCGTTTGCGGGCGCAGGTGGTCGCTGGCTGTGGGATCCTCTTTGCATGCATGACACCTCTGGGCATTGGGCTGGGTGCAGCCCTGGCAGAGTCGGCTGGGCCACTGCACCAGCTGGCCCAGTCTGTGCTGGAGGGCATGGCAGCTGGCACCTTTCTCTATATCACCTTCCTGGAAATTCTGCCCCAGGAGCTGGCCACTTCTGAACAGAGGATCCTCAAGGTCATTCTGCTCCTCGCAGGCTTTGCCCTGCTAACTGGCCTGCTCTTCATCCAAGTCTAGGGGGCTCCAGGTGCCCTAGACCTTCCTTTCCTCTCCCAGAGTATGAGAATAAGGAGTGGGGAAGGGAGGTACTGAGGATCAAGGGGTTCTCAGAGATAGGGATGGAGTCTTTGGAACTATCTGACCCATGAGAGGGATGTGGTAGACAAGAGCCTGGCCCTAAGGGACAAGATATAGTTAAGTCACTAAAGACATGATTGAAGGACGTTCATATTGGGGAAGACACTGAATGCTAGAACCTGGGGTCAGACACTACATACAGGGACAAGCTGACACTGGGAAGGCTGGAGGCAGGTGCCCAGCTGCTGTGGGGTAGAGGTGTAGAGAAGGCACAGCCCAGGGTCGGCTGTCCTGCTGGTTCTAGCCCATTTCAGCCCTCTGTCACTTGGGGGTGGAGTGGATCCCTACTTTTCTTAGCTCCTACTCTCTTAGTCTCCTGCTTCCCTTCTCCCAGGGGACTGGTGCCAAACGGCCTCTTCCTGCCAGTTTTGGTACCTTCTCTGGCTTCTCTAGTCCTGCTCACTTCTCTATTTTTAAAGTGCCAAATAAATCTCTTCCCTCTTTCTCAAAAAGCACAGTGATGGCACTGAACCGTGCCCAACACTTCAGCGGAGGGGCCCTGCTTGCCCTTTATTTGGGGGCAGAAATGTTTGCTGAGTTAGGGCTGGGAGAGGGTTGCCAGAGCCACGGCCGCCACCACCACCACTACACCCTAGGAGTATTGAACACGGACATGGTACCCCATGCCCAGATGATAAAAACTGAACTGCCAAAACTTTCTTTCTTTTTTTTTTTTTTTTTTTTTTTTTCTATACCAGAGGAGCCCAAGGGGGAAGGGGAAGGCTCACCCTCAGCGTTATTTTTGGGGAGGGAGGGCTGTGGACAGAGCCATATTCTCTAGAATCTATTTTACTAACTGACCTGTTTTGGGACTTGTTACCCAAATAAAAGATGTTTCTATATATTTGTACAGTATCTGATTCATTTGTCTTGGGGAAGGGGTGGGCACGTGGCCAGTCTGAGAGGGCTTGAGTCCCAGATGTTTACAGGGACATTACCCTGCTCTCCCGATTCTCATTCGGGCCTGAAGACCCAAATTTTTCTCCTTTTGTCTCTTCCTTCTTCCCGCCCTGTCTCCACCCCTTCCCTTCCTCCCCTGCATCCCGCTCCCCTTCGCGTTCCGAGCCTGGGGACAACTTTAGAACTACTCTTCCCGGCCTGCCCCGTGCGGGGAGGAGCCCAGGGAGGAGGAGTCAAGTTCCCAGGCCCCGGAGCCACAAGGCTGCTGGGAAATGGGGTCCGCTTCCTGTCCGCGCCGCTCGCCCGAGGCCGCGCCAGGGTCACGTAAACAAACTACAGTTCCCGGCGGCCCCCGCGCGGCAGGTCCGGGCTAGGCTGGGGCCGGGTTCGCGGTGCTCGCCGAGGCGGCGGCGGCGGCGGCAGCGGCTGCGGCGGCTGCCGCTGGAGCC